CCATCATAAACTATCAGATACCAAACTACTTAAATTATTTTTTTTTTTAAATGTAGTATTCCTTTGGCGTCTTCCAACCAAGGGCCTCAAAGTCATTGGGATGAAATGGGAATTCGGGCCATCTCATCTCCTGCATTAGCATCGTGTTTCTTGCTTTGCAGATTAGGAGGGCCTGGAAGATTTTCAGTAAATGTGTACATGATATGCAGTCACATACTCTGTGCCTTAAGGCAATCCCTGATACTAAGGTTGGAAAGGAGCTTACGTGGGTGACAAGTTGAAAGAGTACTTGGCACAAGTGAATAGTTGTGGGTTTTCATGGGGCTACCCAAGTGAGGAAAATTAACCTGTATTCACAGGACCAATGCTATGCTCATGTGTGATAGATTTGTACTCCCTAATTACTGCAGATCTATTTTCTTACGCTTTGGAATTACTGCCTAAGTCTTAATGACAGTTAAAGGCATAATGCATTAACGTATATCTGGATTTTTAATATCCAGTCAGAAATACTGATCTACTTCCAACAGCAGTAAAAACCAGCAGTGATATCTTCAGCAAATAATTTGAGAATATTTAACAAGCTGTCACTCTGTATTTTGCATTGCTTTCCTGAGTACCAGGGAGGCAAATTTAAGTATGGAAAAGATAAATGAAAATATAAGGATCAAATTAGAGGATTGATGATAAAAAAACTTAAAAATTATTTGTTATTATTTGAAATTATTTAAAAATACGTACTTGGTTATACTTTTAATTTATGCAAGTGTGCTGTAAGTGTCATGCCAGGCTACTTTCATTTTCTACCTCCTGCTTAAACACGAACATAATTAGTCTATGTCTTACTGTTATTTTCTGTACATCATATCTTAACTATGTGGTGCAATCTCTGCCCAGCAATCTAGTTTTTCAGTGCTGAAGAGATAGCTCAGAAGTTACAGATTTCAGTCCTAAAATATCTGTTGTATTTGTAAAACTTTCATGCCTTTAAAATGTAAAGGAAGTAGAAAATGATTCACATATCTTAATGTGGAATGTAACAGCTGATTGTCTGGTCCTGTGAATAGTGTTTTATATAATTATTTGCCAACAGGGAACAGTAATTTATAGGAAAGTGGGATTTTCTTACATTAGAATTATTGTGTTCCTTACTATTTTAGGAGCTGACCAGATGCAGCGTAGAGCAAAAAAACCTGCTGAATTTCATAGAGATTGCTAACTTAATTTATCTGAGTGATGATACAGTGGGATGAGTGACAGAGGATTAACTGAGGAACACTTTTTTTCAGTCAGGTTACATTATTAAAATGAGTTTAGTGATCTTTACTCTGAGAGCTCTATGTTTTCAGAAATCTTGATTATTTTTTTCCATGAGCAGAAGCAATTGAGTGGGGTCTTACTTGCATTTCTGAAGCAAATTTCATAACTAAATATGCCTATATTAGCAAATATTCCTGACTCTCTGTAATTTTAAATTTTTACAGGAGTATGATTTTGTTCTTGAATATAGTGTGGTTTTTGAAATTGAGGATATCTGAATGGAATTTTTTACACTTCTACTGTATGGATAGTGTAAGACAGGAATTCTTACTTGATAGAGTCCGCATTTTCTAGTGTGGAATATGACTGTGCAATATTATTCTGCATAGTATATAGCCAGGCTTGTTACAGAGCACATCCTTGTTACATTGTTGAATTGCCTCCTGACTGGATAATAAGGAAATACAGAGTAGCTATGAGGGTTTTCTTTTTGTAATTTTGTCTTTTTTTTAGTTCTTGAACTGTTTAAGATGTTCAGGTGAGCCCTTCACACTGATCATATAGCGAGGAGATGTGACTTTTCCATATTGGACGTTTTTGTTGCTAGTTGATTTGGTGTTTTTTTGGCATTTTTGAGTTTTTAGTTTTCTTTAGCCATGCATGGTATTTATTTAGGTCAATTCAAGAGTATTTTGATTTTTTGTGTATATGTACACTCATACATGCATGTATTGCACTGTAATGGCTGAACACTTTCTGTGCAGAAGCTTTGCATGAGCAATGTACTTAAGTGTAATCAAAGAGGCTTTTAGTTTGGATCTCCAAGTGATCACATATTCCCAGATATTTCTAAATGAATCAAAGCATTTGGTCTATACTAATGTGTATTGATGCTTAGCATAGACAGTTGAAGCAACATTCTCTTTTGCATCTAATGTTTTCTGAGCGATATATTCATCCATTTAGCAAAACAAAACCCCACAGATAAAACTTATTTCTTGTGGCTGAGAAGGATGTCAGGTGGGAAGGGCTGACTTGCAAAAGCTCCTCAACCTTTTAAGTGAGATGGAATATTTTAAGAGCTTGTTGAGCGTGGTCATTGAAATTCCTTTACTCAGGTAGGTGAGTAGGATTAATGAAATTAATGTTAGCAGTTTGGAACTTGGCAACAAGGAGTGGATGCATAAAATATTTAATAATGTACATATAAGGAAGAGTCTCCTCTGGGGATTTGAACTAACTTTGCATGTTAATGAAATGCCTGGTTTTATAGAGGTTGTGTAGATCAGAATTAAAGAGCTTTCTTTCTGCTGTATTCAGTATTTCCAAAGATTTTCATGTTTGCATGTCTCCTGCATTTTCTAAATGCTAACTCATTTGTTTTCTGAAAAACACCCATTTGGAAGGTACTTTTCAATGTGAATATAATGGGTTTTTATCTCCTGCTGGTAATTAACATCAGTCCGCACTATGTTGTAACTCGTTATGAGTTTGGTAATCACTTAGAATGTTTGCCCCTTACTAGATGACTGTTACAACTGGACAGTGAACTACCAAAACACAGAACTGCCAAAATGAACCTGAATGAATCTGTAATAAAATTTTCTAAGCAAGAGAGAAAGAATCATGTAGCTCTGTGAGTGTGTGATGACATGAGTTCTTCAAAGCTAGTGGAGAACACAGATGACACTCTGTATACATCGCTCATTTGCAATGGGTGCTAGATGGTTCATTGATTCTAAGATGATATAAATGTTTGTCTAAGTAGTGCACAGTAAACTCTGTGGGTGGAATGGTTTTATATTTAGATGAGGTAAATCCCTTTGGGAGCGCTTCCATGGTACCACTTTGTCATCTCAGTGTGATACAGAGTGTCTTTTTTGATATATGTGTTTATGTACAAAGAACAAAATTCAGTAGGTGAATTGCCTCGAAACTGCTCTAAGACTGAACTGCTCCTTGTTCTCAGTAGGATATATACACGTGTATATAACATAAATGTATGGAAATATGTGTATAGGACTGCCTTAAAACCCACATAAAGGAACAGAGATGCAGAGAGGTAAACAGGTTTTCAAGGGCCCAAGATGTTGGCAGAGATGAGAATATGTGTCTTGACTCCATCCCTTTAACATTAAAATCATCTTTTCTTTGATGAAAACCTGGTCACAGGAGAGTTACCATTAATTTGATTACAAAAAAAATTTAAAGCATTTTTTCTGTCCCCACTACCCAACCACCGCTTTTCAAAGTTAACCTGTAGTGTTGGCTGAAACCAACACTGCTCTGAAGAGAGTTTTTCATTGTCTATTTCATGAAACACCATCATTTCAAACAGCGGTACATTGTTGTAATTCTCAAGTTTATTTGAGGCTGATGTGCAAGACAAAGAAAAACGTCAGCTGGAGGAAATGCTCTGTAGCAGGTGGAGAACACCTTATTGCTAACTTCACGCAATACAGATGCTTTTTGAACTGATTTCTAAAAGTAATACTTGCCCCCATCAGCACACATTTCTGTGTGCCATGCTTATCCTAGTAAAAAAAAAAATAAAGAAGATGCATCAAACTTATGCCAACTTGTGTCTTCCTGCCACTATGAGAGTTGATGCCTTTCAGAAGTTGTGGGAATTGTTGTCAAAATAGAGTAGCTGAAGAGATCTGCTACCTGCTGTGGAATTGGGTAGTCTCTTGCCAAAATTGTACACTCCTCTAACTTCCAGGGCATGATGGAAAGGGATGGCATCTGCGCAGCTAACAGTTCTCCAACCTTTACCGGTACAACCTAGCTGTGTCAGTAAGAGCTGATTTCACACATGTTCATACCAATAGCAATTTAAAATGCCTGCAGTCACAGTGTACCTTTGTTTTCTAGGCAAAATATCCTATATTTTCTATGTACTATATAGCAGTACTAAGATTTTATTATGTTTTTATGGAACACAAATGCACTTAAGAGTGACTTTTGCATGTAAGTCAGACAAGTGTAGTCACGTTGTGAGAGTGGACAGGTTTCTGTCTGAAGGACCTTGGCACTTAGCCATGAAGCTCGAGGCAGAGTAAGATAATCAGGTTTTCTTCTTACAAAAATAAAATGTGTTTTTACTATCTTGCCCCCCTTCTTTACACAAAATGTACTATGCAATTGGAAAGAAATTTGCAGCTGATAAGTGAGTTTTATTATTACAACTGAAAGGGAAAGAGAGAAGGAAGGGCCAGGAGCTGCTTCTCTGAATTCTGTTTGCTCTACAGGGAGTCACTGGCCTGTGGAGCAGAAGGCAGCTTATTGTGGGAGCAGAAGAGTGCAAGATAGGATAACTCAGGATGTTTCCTTAATTAGAAGTGTCCTTACAAAGTCACTGTGTTGCATGTATTTAGACCAAGGGAAAATTTCAAAGACAGATGAAAGGATACTACAGAAATCCTGGTGAGTTTAGCTTACGTGCTGAGACTGACCTCAGTGCAGATGGGAGCTATGGAGAGCACCAAGGCCAGTAAAGTGTATAATCTGAGTGTAGTAGTTTGTGGTGTGTGGTTTGGGAAGCAGTTAGGTTTGTAGGAGTAAAACTCACACTGGCAAACCACTGCACTCTGTGTGTACATTCCAGTTGCCTGTAGTTTAGCAGTCTGGGTTGCTGCCTGAAAACTTCTATTCAGTCTTATTCACTCTAGTTAAAAAAACAAAACAAAAACAACAAACAACCCCCCCCCCAAACAAAACCCCCACAAACAAACAAACAAAAACCACAAAAAAAACCCCACAAAATTTCTCATGGTCACTTTTGATTAGTTTTTCTATTTGCTTGCTGTTTTAGACTAAAGAAAAGCAACCAAAAAAACCCCCTTGAAATGTAAACCAATTATTTGCTACATGCTTCATTTTTCAACAGTGGGGTGTAACTGAAGTGCTCACTTCTTGGAAGTGTAAACCTTTGCTTCTTAGTAGTTTTGGATGCACGTAGGTTGTTGGAAAGGGATGTGACACTGGAGGTACAGCTGAGAGCGCTGGGGTGAGCAGTCAGAGCTCCCTGTTGTGAGCGCTGGCAATGCATGTGATGTGTTGGAAGCAGTTGGGATATCGTATGTAGTAAAAATCTTCTCCCTGCCAAAGGGTTTCTAATTTATAGCAGAGCACTGTCCCGTTACTGGGACTCGTTCCCGACTTCTGGAAGCCGACATGACAGGCTCATTGCACGCTGAGGGATTCTCTATGATTGTGGCCAGCTGGATGCCACCTGGATGCTTTTCCTCAGTGTCCTGCATCTGTTGTCTCTGTCTGCTGAAGTCCTCCGAGGTGTGAGCCTCGCTTTTGGTCCATGCCTCCCCGTGGTCTTGTTTAGAGGTCCTGTTTCGTTCTTGCAAGCGCTCGTGTCTCCTGCAGCACAGGAGGTGCAGGCAGCCGTAGAGGAGGACTGCAGCAATGATGAGGAGGAGGACGCTGCTGGTGAGCCAGATGCCCAGTGCCAGCTCTTTCTTGGTGTTGCTCGCAGATGCCGGGTCTTGTTCCAGCGTGTTAAACACTCTGCACTGGTCGCTGGAGGGGTTCGCGGACTGGCAGGTCACGCACATGATGTACGTGGTTAGCGGAGTTAAGTTTTCAACAACAAAGGAGGAGCGACTGGTGGGCACCCTCTCTTCCTTCTGAAAGCTTTTTCTCGAGTAGCTGGATATCATGTTGTTCCAGTTAGGGTGGTACATGATGCTGTAAAAGCTGTCAACACAGCTGGCCATTTTAGGCCAAATTACCATTGCCGTGTTTCCTGTGATGTTTTGGATGATTATTCCCATCAGGATGTTGCTCGTGTGTTTTTTTTCCTCTCTTGACGCTTCCCTTCCCTGCGGAAAGGGAAGGTGTTCTTTGGAGGTAACTGAGACACCGTGACACTGAGAATGTTGTGTGGATCTTAATCGTAGTGCTCTGTAATTTAGGAATGGAGTTTATTAGGAGAGTATGCTCTCATCTTTGGTACTGCAATGTAAGTAACTGTGAGATTAAAGTTCATAGAGTTTGGGGTATTTTAAAGTGTGTATTTCTCTTCCAAGTGAAAGGATAAACATAAACTTAGAGAAATTCAATCAGAGTTGCTGCCTGTACAAGTAACCAGTTTTATCTTTTCTCCCTGAGAGACGGTGAATTTTTGCAGAATTCTGCAATAAGGAAATCACTTCCTTTCACATTTTTTTTTTCCAGGTGATAATGGAAAAATGCAACAGTTGTTTTTTCTCTAGTCTGAGTATCTTGCATTTTATGTTAAATGGAAAAAGAGGGTTGGCAGGAATTGATATTGAGGGATAAATGCCTCTACCATCCACAAATCTTCATTTTTGCCGGTCACAATCAATTGAAGAACAAAATAGTATTTGGAAACATCAGCAGATATTATTGTCTCCAATATTTTACATTATTTTCGTATTCATGAATATGAATACGAACACCTCTGCAATGAAGACCAGCTGGGAGAGTTGTGGCTATTCAACTGGGAGAGGAGAAGGGTCCAGGGAGACCTTACAGCACTTTCCAGTACCTAAGAGGGGCTGATGGAACAGCTGTAGAGGGACTTTTTACACGGGCACATAGTGATACAACAAGGAGAAATGACTTTAAACTGAAAGAGGGTAGATTTAAATTAGATATTAAGAAGAAATTCTTTACTGTGAGGGCAGTGAGGCACTGAAACAGGTTGCCCAGAGAAGCTGTGGAAGGTGTCTGTGCCCATCACAGGGGTGTTAGAACTAGATGATCTTTAAGGTCAATTCCAACCCAACCCATTCTGTGGTTCTATGATACGCTCCATTTTTTGCTGGTGAATTAGCACATCTGTGGCTCCTGCGGCTCCACTGCGGCAGTGGCTGTGATGACTGTATTTTGGTGGTATCAGTTATCACAATATCTAGTTTTGATGCTAGTTGACCTCTTGGAAAAGCTTTCTCAAGTTAAGCTTAGTGAAATACAGCTTTCACTGTAGCATACCTCTTGGAAAAGTAGTGTTTTGGTTTTTTTTAAATTACTAACAGTCTTTTCTGTTCTAAGTGATTCTATGTAATCCCATAGACTGTCTGCTATGAACTGAAGCCTGAACTTCTCATAATAAAATTCAAAATAGAAAGCCTGCCAGTATTTTGGGATTCTCGGTATGTGTTACCACTGTAAATAGTGAAAGGAAAACATCTGTTGTGCAGTTTTCTAAACACATCTATGAAAGAATATGTAATAACAGCCAGTAGGTGTTTTCATCTAGTTTTGCTTGTACTGTTGTGAGTGTAACTTTTGAAAAAGAGCCCATCTCAGCAATTTAATCTGATTCTCTTCATTTGATTGTCTGTTTCCAGTGGCACTCATGTGAAAGTTTTTCTTCCACTTTGAAAGTTCCTTACTTTTTTTATGAAGATAAATGGCCATTACAATAACACTGTATTTAATTGTTTATGACTTCATTATAAAAATGAATTTGTTATGATCTGGTTTAAAATGTTACATCTCCTGGCTAAATAACAATTAAGTATTGCAAATTTTCTGAGGAAGAAATCTTGTAAGAATTTCTCATAACACGTTCTGAAATTATTCAGTAATACTTGCATTTTATACTATATAGTATACTGGAAAAGTATATATCATTTTAGTGGGATTTTGATAGTGACATTACATTAATAGTAAGAATCATGTGCCTATTTCTGTAATAAAATCATTGCTCAAGGCTTTTGGATTATACTTATTGGGAAGTGAGAAGAAAAAAGATGTATGTTTATTTTCATTATGTAAAACCATGGATATGACAGATCTGAGTAGATGCTACTGTTCTAATTGTGTGGTAAGTGCACCCTTTTAATACAGAAACAATATAAAGGAACTGAGTTTACTATCAGATAAAGTTACTAGACAGACACATTTTGGCATCTACCCAGCTACTGCAGATACTGAAATTGGGTGCATTAGTAAGATCAGAGCTTTTACTTTCTCGGTTGTCTTCTCTTTAGCTGGTATATCCCTAGCACTTAAAATTAATTTTTGTTTTATTTTAATAGAACACTTCCTAACACAGCCTAGAAACAATACTTTCATCAATTTAATCCTGACAGCATTTTCTAAGTAGAATGTTTATACTGTAATTAAAAAACAGTTACATGTTTCTAATGTTACAAAACATCAGTTTTTAGAAGACACATAGTTACTGACATGTAAATGTTTGGAAAAACCATTTGATGTTTTATGGATCAGAAAGTCAGTACTTACCGTCACTTCCTGAAGGAAATTTCAGAACAGAATTTTCATGTGGCGATGCTGCCGTGAAAATGATTTAGACACCAAGTTTTCTGTATCCCTTTCCATTTGAATTATTTCCTGACTGATCTCTGTTTGCCAGTTTGCTTTTTCTTCCCCTCAGATTCCCTGGACTGAATTCTCATTGCTTGGTGATTTCAGTTTTTTTTTCTCCGATGCTGCTGGTGGCATGGTTTCTTTGTCTCTTCCACTGAAATTCACTCAAGAGCACATCTTTTCTAAAGATGCTGTTGCCTTGCTTTTCAAAGACTATACAGGAGAAAAAAAAAATGTCTTTTTCTCCCTCTCTTGCTTGCCTTCCCTTGGACAGTGTACTGCTTGAGCATCCCTGTTATATGCTCTTGTGCGTGGACCAGTGATGCTGTGAGTGATTAATGTTAGCACTTAGATGACATCAGCAACTAACAACTCTTTTTTTTTTTTTTTTTTTAATTTAAGTAGGGGAGGGAGCAAGTGTAGATTGAAAAATAATGAACAACAACTTGCCTTCCCTCCCTCTCCGCCCCCACTCCCTTTTTGTTAGTGGCTTCTTTGCTAAGGATTTTATGCTTTTGTGCATCATTGGGGGGAAGGGGTGATGGTGTGTAATGGTATTTTCTAAATCCCTTCTCACAGTTCATAAAGCTCCAAAATTCCAGTGTTTACAGGGGATCATTTTAGGTACTCCCCATGAGGTTTACATTAAAGAAAGATGTATTTTTAGGTTGGCTGGCTTCTTATTGTTATATATCGGTGAGTGTTTTAAACACTGAAATCATGTGTTTAGGACTTGCTTGTCTATGACAAATTTTTGCTGTCTGAAGTTCCCTTCCCTTAACCTCACAGCAGTAAAGGGCTTTTTAACCTACTGAAGCAAAATTCTCCTTGTGCTATAGTCGAAACAGATAGTTTGGACACATTTGTTGTGGAGACCTACCTGCCTGGAAGCATCAATAGCAAAAGAGGAAATCTCATCTTTTAGGGGCAGTTCTGTAAATGCTTAGTGTACCAGTACGTTGATCTGCACATCTGCTCCTAAGGTTTTACCAGTTCTCTGCACTGTGTTTGCCCTGGAACCCTTTTCCATATGTGGAGAGCTATGGAAATGCACAGGTTGTACTAGAGGGATACTGCTTTAGACTGTCCCCCTCATGGGACATGTTTGGAGTTAGGCTTTATAGCCAGTTCTGATCTGGCCAGATCAGCCAGGAATCTGCTTTGTATTAGGATTCTAATAATTACTCAAGTGTCTGTTTTAGTTTGCATCTAGAATACAATTTTTGAATTTCTAAGACCACAATTGGAAACTGCTGTTTATATAGAGATTTACAACATAAATAAAAGTATACATTTTTGATCCCGATTGCTTCTAAAAATGGTATTTAAGTCCTTTTCTATTATGAGACTAAAATCCTTGAAGAGCTTGGTAGAATTTCATTACTTGAATTCCCAGTAGTTTAATGCCATATTTTACAATATCTAGTGTTGACTTACATGGTAATTAGGTAGGATAGGGTAATTAGGGCAGGATCTGCACTGAAGGAAATGTTCTTCCTGGAAAATTTTCTGTAACAGCTGTGTGTGAAGTTAAAAGTCTAATAGTATGCTATTTTCCATGTGTGTATTAGAGAGAATGAAACTGCAGAAAATAAAACGAAACACAACAGTCCCTTCTATAAGAAAGGATAAAGGAAGAGCAGGATTCCCTCTTAAAATTAAATTTCAGGGTATTAGGAGAACAACGCAGTTGCAGAAATAGAGGATGTCAAGTTATCCAACTCCTCTCTGATCTGTGCCTTCAGCAAACAGTTCTTAAATCCCCACACAGCATCAGTCTGTACAGTTGTGTTCCCTTTCATAGAAATAAATTATAATATGGCAAAGCACCTGGTCCTATTTATAAAGCTCTTGAAGAATTTCCATGAGGTTACATCCCAGACTTAGATTTGCTTTGATCTTGTGTACAGCTAAGGGGTTTGAAGAAGAAAGGTTCTTATTAATTAGTTGCAGAGAGCAGTAACTGCAGGAGGCTTTTACTTGTAGGTGAGTACTCAGAGACTTAAAAAAAGAAAAATTGAAGCAACTTCTTTCAAGATGTTTTGTGCATAAAATAGATGATACAGGAGTAGAAGCTTTGCTTTAAATTCAAGGATCTGAACATCGGCATTGATTACTCTTAAAACTTTTATACTCATGTAAATAAAAAAAATACAAAAGAAGAAGTGTTCATGGCTTTATAAATGGTAAATGGAAGATGTCTAGTGGGAAAAAAGGTGGTTACAACTTTGTCTTTCTAATACAGAGATTATGGTTGAAGTTCCTGCCTTACAAAATGGTAACTCTGTAATTAAACTTTCCAGAGTGACAGTGGGAGACAATGTTATTTTACTTCTGTTATGCTTTAAAACACTGTTTAAATTATATTATTATAAAGATACAGGCAGACAAAGTTTCCATTGATCATGTGCGTTCTCTCATTTTAGGCATTGAATCTGGCATATTCCAGCATCTACAGCAACTACAGGAATTTTGTTGGTCCCCCTCACTTTAAGGTCATCTGTAGACTTCTTGGATATCAGGGCATTGCTGTGGTGATGGAGGAGTTGCTGAAAGTTGTCAAGAGCCTGGTATGCTAATTGTCTTTTGTTTTCTGCTATTCCAAAGGGTTTCTGGTAGGAAATGTCTGAGGGAAAGCAAAGTGAAAAGAAGATGTCGGATAAAAATAATTAAAACAACTTTCACTGAGGTTCAATATAAGCTGGGCTTGACAGTCTTGTGCGAGCAGTAAATATTCCTTGGTACCCTGAGCAGTGTTTTGAAAATCTTGGATGCTTCATTGGAGATGAATTTAATTTGTGGAGGCCTATGATGTTAGGACCTAGGTAGACTCTGGAAAAGTGTGAGTATTTCAAATGAGTTGATTTCAACTTAAAGACCATACTGTAAATTTTCTTTCTTGATATTTTTTTGAGCTGGAGTGTGCTTTCTGCCTTGAGCCTAACTTCAGGGCTGTCACTAATGACATCATTAATAGATGAATCCTTAATAACAAGCCAGGTTTAATCTCCATGCTTGATTTAGCAGTGGTGCTCAGACCAGATGTTGAAGATGTTCTCCATACAACCTGGGTATCCTGTATTGGAAGGGATCTTTTCTGTAACTAGGAGGAGGTTGAGGGGCTGGCTGTTTGCTGTATTATTAGCATCTATATATACAGCCATAATGTACTGCAGTAAATTTAAGCTAAAGAAATTCTTTTCTGCCCTGTCCCTGTTGCTTGTAAGAAACTTCCTGCCAAAAAATTCGACTGGGGAAAACTGTGGCATTCATAATCGCACTTCAGGCACTTGACACACTTGGCAGTTTGTTTATAGTAATTCCCAAAATGTTCTAATTACATTTTTGGTGTTCTAGAAAGGCTGTAGCATGCTTGAAGAAGTGCTGTAGTCTAATCTTCAGGGAAAGAGGAAAACAAATGTATTTTTCAGGGTTTGGGTGTTGAGGGGTGTTTTATTGTATTTTATGAGGAACTTTTTTTTAATGACTTAGTGGCAAATCTTGTCAATTCATTAAAGGTGGCATTGAATGCTTGGTCATTTACAAAGAAGGTTAAAAGGCCTGGGGGAAGGTATCTTGCCAGTGCCTGATGCAGATGCTCAGATGTGGGGAGACAGATAAGAGCGGGAGGAAGACAAACTGACTGTGGGCTGGGAACTGTGTCTCAACTGGTATGTCCAGAAGAGCCAGTTTGGGCAGTTACAGACATACCTTATCATAAGCTTTTCTCTCTTGTTGCTTTTGAAAGTATTCATATGCTTTTTGAATAGTTTTTAAAGTATTCAGATGTAACTTTTTTACCAAAAAACTAAAAGTTAGTTGGACAGTAGAGACAGTGTGCAAGACAAGAGCGTGTTTTCATCTTTTTTACCTTCCTGGCCTTAGCCGTTGTGCCACTCTTCTTGTAGCAAAAAGTGTGTAATGAATGCCACAGGAAGGAAAGTGCAGTTCTATTAATCTGAAAAAGTTGCCTTTTTAAATGTGATGACTGGTGGAATTAAACCCAAGATTTTTAGAGCTGCTTCAATTCATGTGTAGTTTGAATGCAATTGTAAATGGTAAAGATTCTTAGTTCAGTAACACTGACATGTTTACATACATCTGTTTTCTCTTAGTTACAAGGAACAATTCTTCAGTATGTCAAGACCCTAATGGAAGTGATGCCTAAGATCTGTAGGTTACCAAGACATGAGTATGGCTCTCCAGGTTAGTTCATGTTTGGTGTTATCATAGCAGCCTTAATAAGATGATACTAACCACTGTCTTCTGGATCTTGTATATATATCTGTCTTTCCCTCCCTCTTTTGCCTCCTGATAATCAACAGTCTGTGTTAGGCTTTGGTATTTTGTTTTATTTTGTGTATTCCCACAACATGAATCATTGAAAGCTGGGCTTTCCGAAATTACATTTTAAGACTTCTGTGCATAGAGCGAAAGGATGGCAATCTGTATATAGACAGTCTTAAAACACAGTTGATCTTGAGCTGGGATGTTCACAATAGTTTCTATTTCTAGTCTTTTTCATGAGTGTGTTGAGCTTTTCCCTCTGCAAATTAGCCTCTCACATTTTTTCGTTTTAAATATATAATTTAGATAACCCTGATTCTCTGGAACAGCCTTTATTCCCTCTTCCTTTGCCCTTATCAAACATAAGATAAAAGGAGTGATACTGCTGAGAGGCAAACTGGTCCTGCTAGAATAGTTATGTCTGAGGCATGTGTGGGGTGCATCTTAGCTGCTCAACAGGAGGAGTGACAGTTGCAAGAGAAAAAATGGCTTTGAAAGCCACTTGCCACTATGGAGAAATAATTGGCTAATTAGTATTTATCACATTGTTCACTGAAATTTTGAATCTGCTCCCCCCCTTCAAAATATTCCTCCTCCACAACTTTTAATTAACACAAATTATTCCCTCCATGTGCCACCCACCTCCTGAGTTTATTTTTCCAGAGTTGCTTAGTTTTATTAAATGCCACTCCAACTGGAATGAGGTTGTTTTTTTTCTGCTTCCCACAGCTTGCTTGACGCTCATTACCAATGTTTAAATGAAACTGAGGTCTTAGTAAGTGTTTCCTTCCTATTTTTCTCCCTGAAGCATAGAAGTGGATGAATCATGGTAGTTAGCAATATAAAAATAATGTATCTGAGGCTTTTATCCATTCATTAAAGTCTTACCACAAAAGCAGTGGGTATTCTCAGATGTAGATTATGCATCACAAGGGTCTGTGATGCTTCAGGTGACATTAGGAAGCTCACAGTCTCTTGCCAGAAATCCTCACCTGTGAGGTGAGATGACAGGAGATGCCCAGAGACTTTAGGAGAAACCTTTTTCTTAATGTTAAAAGACAA